GAATGAATAAGCATTTATTAAGTATTATATGCAAAGTACTATGCTAAGCTCTGGCAATACTATTCTCAAGGAATTCCCATACTAATATGGAAAGAAAACACACATAAGAATTTCAGCAGAAATAAAAGAGACTTTTAATTTTGTCTTTGTTACACTGGCACTTAGCACATAAGAGACAAGGACCCATAATAAATGTTTGTCAAATTGAATTGAATTCTACATTTCTACCTCTCTTACTCCTTACAGCAGGTCTAACAAGAAACCACAGCCCTCAAGCTGACCAGTAGCCAAGATTTTAACCCTTTGTACCCAAATCTTTTACTAACTGCTTTGTTCTCTACCCACCTCCTTCAATACTGAACACCAATCTAACAAACCTCCACTTTCCCCCTTTCTACACACAAATGACAGAGTGCTTCTGTAGGAAAGATCCAATGTAAACTTCATGCTTTACAAATTAATGCTGTCCAACATCAACTTGGCGTTTGCTGGTACTAAGCAGTATTTTCATTAATCTCCCTACAAAGGGTGAAACTCACAGGAATTTAAATCTTCCCTTCTTTCTCCTTTTAGACCCTCAACTCAAAGGGCCCTACTGGCAATCTGTGTAAGATTTAATTGCATGACAACTAAGGTCAATTGCTATAGCAGCTCACTATATATAATTGCCTACAGGCCCAACATATGAATCTTTACATTCTTCCCTTCAAAGAATCAAAAACCTCTTCTTTTCTAAAACTAAACCTTCAACCTGAACTCCATATCCCATTATATCACTCTCAATTATATCACTGAAATCTTCCTCCTCTTCTATCTTTAAATATACAACAAAATATTTAAAGTAGTATCTTTGGGGACAGGAAAAATTGGAAACAAAGTAAATGACCATCTACTACAAAATAATTAAATTGTGGCACATGAATTAATAACTATTACAATACTGTAAGAAATGACGGTTGTGATGAAAACAGAAAAGTATGGAAAATACTTAAAGTGATGCAGAGTAAAGTGAGCAGAGCTAAGAAAACAATATAAACAATGACTACCACAATGTAAACTTAAAAAAAAAACATATACACATATCAAAAGGGAATGCTGAAAAAAGGAAGAGATACAGAAAGACACTCCCAACCCACTCCTATGCAGATGTAGAAGAATCACAAATGTGTACATAGTACATATGTTCAGACTTTAACAATAAATTGACGGGTTATGCTAACTTTTTTCCCTCTTCTTCTTTTGTTATCTTAAGAAAAACATTATTTGGGCTGGGATTCTTATAATCTAGCCAATAGTTTATGTTCTAATAAACCTTGTCTTTGGCTGAAAAAAAAGGGGGGGGCAGCTAGGTGGCGCAGTGGATAGAGCACCGGCCCTGGATTCAGGAGGACCGAGTTCAAATCCGGCCTCAAGACACATAACACTTACTAGCTGTGTGACCACAGGCAAGTCACTTAACCCCATTGCCTAGACAAAAAAAAAAAAGACATAAAAGAAAAACATTATTTGGAGGAAGCTAGGTGGCGTAGTGGGTACAGCACCAGCCCTGAAGTCAGGAAGATTTGAGTTCAAATCTGGCATCAGACACTTGACACTGACTAGCTGTGTGAAGCCGGGCAAGTCACTTAACCCCAATTGACTCACCAAAAAAAAAAAGAAAGAAAGAAAGAAAAACACCATTTGCTACATGAGATGGCTCTCTGAGAGGGAGAGGAAGACTGGGAGAAACTCTGGCAATATAAACAACAAAAGACATCAATAAAAAACAAATTTTTATAAATAGGACAGTTCTGGGTGGCGGCTGGCATGGTGGAACTTGTAGTGGCTGTGAAGAGGGAAAATCTCCTCACAGTTCCAAGGCAGAAAAGAGTGCTTGTGGTCACTCACAGATTACAGCACAGGCAGGAAAGGAGTAAACACCTCACCATTGATCATACCACCTTAGAAGAACTGAAAATTGACAGGTCCCTAGAAGTATCTCTGAAAAACAGCTGCACAAAACCCCCAAAACTTGGGACAGTACATTCTCCATAATGGAAGCAGACCCCTATCTTAGCAAAGAGTATAAAAGTCAAATAATTGGCTGGGATCATAAGCAAACAGCACGAAAAAAGTCAGACCACAGAATCTTACTCTGGTGACAAAGAAGATCTAAACATATAACCAGAAAAAGACAAAAAAGTCAAAGCTCCTATATCCAAAGCCTCCAAGAAAAATATGAATTAGTCCCAGGCCATGGAAGAGCTCAAAAAGGATTTTGAGAAACAAGGAAGAGAAGTAGAGGAAAAACTGGGAAGAGAAATGAGAGTGATGCAAGAAAATCATGAAAAATAAGTCAACAGCTTGCTAAAAGAGACCTCAAAAAATACTGAAAAAAATAACACTTTGAAAAATAGACTAACTCAAATAGCAAAAGAGGTCCAAAAAGCCAATGAGAAGAATGCCTTAAAAAGCAGAATTGGCCAAATGGAAAAGGAAGTCCAAAAGCCCACCGAAGAAAGTATTTCCTTAAGAATTAGAATGGAACAAATGGAAGCTAATGACTTTAAGAGAAATCAAGATATTATAAAACAAAACCAAAAGAATGAATGTGAAAGAATAAAGGCAAAAGAAGATGGTAAAGGATGAGATGGATAGAGAATCTTATGGAAACGATGATCACGAACTTGGACAGTCTTCAAGACTTTAAGAGATAGTGGAGGATAGAAGGGCCTGGCATACTATAGTCCACAGAGTCATAAAGAGTATAGCAACAACTGATAAATCAGTATCATTATTTTCATACAAAAAAAGGCATAACAAATTTGTTCTCATATGATACATTCAATTTTTCACTAAAATTAGTGAAAGATAATGAAAACTATTTTCATTGTTTCCCAGTGAAATCTAAGACAATCCCAACAAAAGAGTTTGTGCTTCATGAATGTACTGTGATTATTTTTTTGGAACAGGATATATCTACTATGTGTTTAGCACTGTTCTGAGAATGGCAACCAATATTTTGACATATTATTAATGCATTCCTCAAACTGTCAGTGGGCATGCTAAGTAAAGAGGCTAAGTAAAAGAGGAAACATGTTTAAGAAAACACACTACTTTGCCTCATACTTGCAAACAGTCTTTTTTTGACTAACAAATATTTAAGCATCCTAATATGCTGACAAAACAAGTTTTCTACAAGACTGCCATGACCATTCACTATGATAATTTTAGAAGTAGAACAAACTAAAAATGAAAGCTTTTATTATCAACTGGGGCAGCTGAAATAAAATTTTATCTGTAACTCAACTTTGTCTGCTATTACAACCATTGAAAATATTTTATTCAGGAAAAAAATTCCTTTAGGTAGATAAGAGAAATTCACCCAGTTTCTCCCTCCCAAAAAAATTATAACAAGATTGAGATTTTTTTTTAAATATGCCACTGTAGGACAATGTTCTCTAAGCTTCTCTTCTATAATACACTTTATTTCATAAATACACAGAAATCTCCGTAAATGCTACAAAATTATCTAAAAACTACTATGTGTCAATTCGCCGAACTTAAGTTCACATGGACCTATCAGGATTTGAACCACAATTTCAAAAAAGCAAGACTAACACATTAATGGTGCTCTGCAACTAAAACAGGAGGCACTTAATAAATGTCTACTGAACTGGACTTATGTTGAAAAGCCTATCCCGATCAGCATTCTCTCCGTGAAGAAACTCAGAATGAAGCACTATTTGTTACTCAATTTTTCTTTCTTTGATTTTTTTAAGGCATCATGTAAGCAATATATTACAAAAAAGTGAAATTATTTTACATTACTACTGGTCAACCACAAACTCTATTTGAGGAAACACGGTAATAAGAAAGAAAGATGGACCTATAGTCAGAAGACTGGAGTTTGAATACCACTTCAGACACTTACTGGATGTGATTTAACCTCTCTGATTCATAGGTCCCTCGTCTGTAAAATGAGGATAATAATCTTATATTACTTATCTCATAAGCATTCTATAAATTTGTTACTGCAGGTTATTATAGGACTTACACTATGATCAAAAAATCTACCCATTTGTGCTGTGTCAGATTATGAAGACAATACAAAGCAGCCAAAAAGCTACTAAACTGTGCATACTCTTTGAGATTCTGCTACTAGATCTATACACCCAAAGAGATCAAAGAATGAGCAAAATGACTCATATACACAAAAATATTTATAGTAATTTTTCCATCCATCAAAGAATCAGAAATTAAACAGGTGTCCATCAATGTGGAATGGCTGAACAAGTTATTGTATATGAAGTGATAGAATAATACTGTGCTATAAGATATGATGAAGGGAATGTTTTCAGAAGAATCAGGGAAGACTTGTATGAACTAATGCAGAATGAAGCGGGCAGAACCAAAAGAAAAATGTAAGACAGTATCAATAATATTGGAAAGTCAAGAAATTCAACACAATGACCAACCAAAATTCTAGATGAAACATTACCCACATCCTGACAGGGAGACAATGGACTTAAAACTGCAGAATGAACTATACTTTTGTGCCCATGTTCACTACAAGAATTTTCTTTGCTTACTATACCTGTTTGTAACAGGAGTTTTGTTTTCTTGCTTTTGCAATTGCGGGGGGAGAGCGGGAGAGGCAGGGAGGGAACAGAGAGAAGGCTCATCATGAATATATAATAAAATTTAATTTTTACAAAAAGTTACACCAGGTAACTGAACCCAAATACTACAGGTAACTGAACCCAAATACTACAGGGTAGAGAATTAATTACATTACAAAAATGATTTCAAAATGGAAAATGATGGGGCAGCTAGGTGGTGCAGTGGATAGAGCATCGGCCCTGAAGTCAGGAGGAACTGAGTTCAAATCCAGCCTCAGACAAAACACTTGATACTTACTAGCTGTGTGACCTTGGGCAAGTCACTTAACCCCAACTGCCTAAAAGCAAAAAAAAAAAAAAAAAAAAGGAAAGTGATTTCACTTTGGTTTCTTTACATACCTGAAGCAGTCCAATACCGATCCAACAACATCATCTGCTAATTCTTTTGGTAGTCTTCCAGTCATTCTACCAATTCTGTAAGAGGGGGAAAAAAAAACCAACAAACATACACACATAAACAAAAACAATTAATTTGCATCATCCTTATACTTTGCCTAGTAAGTATTAATGTCCTACTGGTATACTGAAAGGAAAAAAAAAGGCAAAATAATTCAGCTCTGTATAATTATAATCTATGATTTCTCTTGCAAGGCTCATTGTGAAATACCATCAAACAAAAATCTGTCCCTACCTCTATAATATGTTTGTGGGTTTTTTGGCCAATCTCAAAAGCATACTACATGGTATTCTAAAATCTAACCATGCAAAAGGTGCATATTACAATATCTTCAATAGGTTTATTCCAAATCAGATATTCACCTCAATATACATAGATGAAGCCAAAGAACCTATGAGGCACCATCTTTACATTTGTACTCTGCCTCCTGTAGTTTTCTTTTAATAACAAATCAATGATGCTTACTTGTTTCAGGGCTGAAAATGTAAATGTCATCATTAGAGTTCAACAGCCAATTGAGTGCTAATGACAGACTCTTCTACTGTACGACTGGGCAAATCACTTAACCTCCCTGGACCTAAGTTTCCTCGTCTGTAAAAAGGGTGTAGACTAAATCGTATCCTTTTTTTTTTTAATGGTGCCCATTTTAAATAGATTTTGTTCCCCATAACAAGAATTGCATTTCCACTTGTTTACAATACAGAAAAAAGCACGATGTTTTTCACTTCTCTCCCTTTGCGTATCAGAATGTTCAGATTTACATAATAGCTTAAATGCTACTATTAAACTGCTACTGCTTTGCCTACAAATTTGAGTCCTTCAGCTTTTGTAAAGCTGTGCTGAATGCTCTGTTCTGGGTGCATTTAATCAACCTCATCAATAACAGATCCAGAAGAAGCACCTCCAAATGCAGCTCTTCCACCACTTGGGAATGCACCAGGCAGCATATCCCCAGCATTCTGACACAGTTTAGTAATGACCTCCATTCCTTTCTGTGGCTGCTCAAATTCTTCCTTCCAAACAATTTGGTTTTTATCCACTAACTTGATTTTTTTGTTACATTTGTCAAGGACCTTCTGTTTGTCTTCATCACTAATTTTGCCTTACACTTTCTCATTTTCTACTATACCTTTCATTTTGAAAGTGTAAGATTCAAGTAAGTTCCTGAAAGATACCTTGTGTCTCTGCTTCTTACCTTCAGCCACGTATTCCTCAGCTTCCTGGACTCAATGTCTTCATTGCTCAAGCAACTTTTGTCATTGATGACTATAATCTTATTCTCCTTGCCTATTAATTCATCCATAATAAATACACTAAAGATGCCACCTGCATCAATTTCAAATGTTACTTCAATAAAAGGAACACCCTGGAGGAAGGGGTAATTTCTGTGAACTCAAACTTGCTAAGAAGGTTGTCATCCTTTGTCATTGCTCTCTAACTTGGAATAAGCTAAGAAGACTGTTGTCTGAAAATGTGGGAAAAGTCAGTCTGCTTAGTAGTAATGTTGGTACTCCATTTAATCAGAACCATCATAACTCCACTGACAGTTTCAATAATAAGGGAAAGAGAAGTCACATTAAGCACAGCAAATCCTAAACTTTCTTACATTTAACCCCAGACAAGATGGCAGCCTGGACAGCAATACCATAAATAACAGCCTTATCAAGACTGTTTTAGCTCCTTGAGGAACAAAGTTTCTGAATCTTGGGGATGTAAGTGGAACCACCCATGAATCTGTGACTAATCTATTTTGCTATTACAAACTAGAATTCATGGTCTTTGACAGCTGAGGAGGTTAGATTCAGCGCTTCAAAACAAGCACAGGTGACAAGAGTATACCTTCACAGAGGAGTCAATCTCAGTCCTAGCCTGGGAACTGGAAAAGAGTATGCTTTGCATATTCACAAGCAGTGTGCAGACAGTGCACAGACAGTGCACAGACCTCTTGTTATCTCTGATTTCCTTCTTGTGCTTTCGCTTGAATTCAGCAATGAAATGATTATGTGGTTGTCACCCAACTGGGGTGTTCCCTACTGTGGACTTGACTTCAAAAATACCATCTTCAATGGTAAATAATGGACACATCAAAAATGCCATTTTTAATGTCAAAGATCAATACATTTCTCTTGGCACTAACCTTGCTGTCTAAACCATAAGCAATAGCAAAAGCAGTTTTCTCTTGATAAATTGAAGCACACAGACAAGACGGATGGTTTTGGCATTTTGGGAGGCCTGATAATGGGAATTATTGAAGTACACTAGTACAATGACTACAGCATTTGTAACAGTTTTCTGAAGGCAAGCTTTGACAATTTCTTTCATCTTGGTCAAGACAACAGAAGATACCTCTTTTGAGCAGAAGCTTTTGTTCTCCCCTTTTTATTCCACTTAGACCTAAGGCCTGCCTTTATCCTTTAGCACCATGAAAAGTCAATGTTTCATGTATGACTGTATGACTGCATCATCAATTCAATCAAAGACTGTGCTGGTGGGGTTTATTACAACCTGATTCTTTGAAGTATCATCAATTAAACATTCTATGTGCGTAAAGGTAGCATAACTTCGGGTGGTCCTCCCGACCAATGAGGAGAAACAAGGGCTGCTGTATACTAAGACTTTAGGTCAATTCCTAAGATCCCTTCCAATTCTAGATCTATGTTACTTATAGTGCTACAGCTATGAAAGAGGAAAGCAGGAACAGGTATACTTTCATTAGCATAATTCAATACTCTATCTAAGTGCAACATGCACTTATATTCAACTGGGCATGTAACTGTTAGTATACCACAGCAACTGAGGAGAAGAGGCCTGTCCAACATTTTTTAGAAGCTGAATGTTGATATGAAATTGTTTGAAGGCTCCCTAAGAAAACTGTCTTTTCCACTGACCTGTCCTTAATATATTGTCATCTAGGATTACAGCTTTGTTATTTAGGATTAAAGCATTGTCTCACTTTAAAATGCAAATACTATCTATCCATTCTTCTGCCAGCAACAGTAATTAACTTTTGGTTTGAAGTTGATCTTGATCGTCAGATGCTTTTCACCATGACAGCTAGCTTAGAGATAGTTCTGACTACAGAATAGCGAAAGGACGTATGTTCAAATCAGAGACCACTGCTCAAAAATGTAAGGCCTGAGTAAGATGCCATCAGGCACCCCCAGTTAGCAGGTAAACTTAAAGCACTAGGAACCCCAAGTGAAGCAATGTGCATGCCATAAGGGAAGAGAAGAATACTATAAGGAAAACTGAGAAGGCATCTGAAAAAACTTCCTATACAATTTTGCCAGTTCTGGCTAGACACAGAGGTGATGATGTTAAAGTTTCAATATTAGAAACTAGCTTTAAAATAAAAGTTTTAATCACTAACTCTAACTAGGTAAACAATTCTCTTTGTCCTTAAAAAAACCTAATTACTGAAGCTATCAAATACTAGTTGAAATAGTAAAATAGTTGAATTTACCATCTAGTAAACAAAAATTTGCAAAAAAAACAGTTTTCTATTTTTTAGAGGTCTATGAAAATTATGCCAAGATTCATCTACTTATTTTCAGGTAAATGACAGGAAACATACCCTTTTGCTGCAGACCATCGGACAATTGTATCTTTGTCTTTCAATCCAACCAGCAGCTGCTCTATAAAGAATACAAGACAATAATTATTCACTTCTGCTCCACAGAACAAACAAAATTATATTATGATTTTCTTACTTAAAAATCAGAATATCTTAAAATACTCTATATTATAGCTACTTTTAACAAGATCTTTAAAGAATCTGCATTTTATTTTTAAGAATAGGAACCATCTATTTATGAGTTTAACAAAAGCAGTGTTTCTCAATCCATGCTGCAAGAAATTCAGGAACATCCCAAATTTGTTTGGTTTTAAATGAATTTTATGTTATTTGTTAATAGACATTGAAAATAATAATTTATAAGGGATTTTACAAGGGCTCTGCTCAAGTTTTATTTAAATTGAAGTGTTTTACCATTACGGAAATAATTGAGAACCACTATTCTAGAGTAATCAGCTAAAACTCATGTTCCTACTTAAGCAAAATCCAAAGTCCATCCCCAACATAATAAGGTACACAATGAATGAAATTGCATTTTTTTAATCTTCTTTGTAACATAACAGAAACCACAAGAACAAACAATTCAAGCTGGTTTGCCTAGATAAAGGAACCCAGCAGCTTCATGCATTTTAATTTCTATGGGAGGTGGAAGTAAGGAGAAAAGGAGAACAGATATTCTGTGTCATATCACTTTATTTACACTACCCTTTTCTGTGCCTCAGCAGGACATATATTCCCTTCTGGTCTTATATAGTTTACTTTCAAAGCAGAACTTCAATTTTATTTTTATTTAACTCAGTTCTTTTATGTAATTATAATCACAATAAATGAAAAATTCAAAATAAATATTTGCCATCATAAATACACTTAAAAGTAACAGATTTTTTTTGACAATATAACTGGCTTTTGATCCATATTTGGGTTTAATTTTGACTAATGGTAAGGCAAAAAACTTAACTTATAATGTGACCACATAATCAAGAAGATATTTTAAAAATCTAGGCTAAAAATGATACACTTTCATGTACAATTAATTCTTCCCTTTTTATTCATTTGATTTATAATAGAATATTTATCTAAAGATGATAAATACAACTAAAAAATTAACACTAAAAATTCAGCAATCCACAGACAGCAAAAAGATTATCTATTTTGGTAACTGTTGACTAGACGGTACATATATGACAAATATAATGTGAAATTATGTTCTATGAAATAAAATATATAAGCAAATGAACTGAAAAAAAAACCCCTACCCCTCTGTAAGAGAGAACTCTAAACCAAAGCACATTCTGCTTTCATGTGAAGGACAATTGTTACATGGCTAACTACAATTTTAAAATACCTTTTAAGCTGTGTTATTTTCTCTATCATTGTTAGTATATACGTACTATATATGACTTATATACATATAAATGTATACGCACAGAATGAATATATACACACATACTACATACAACAAATATATACGAAATAGTTTTTCTCAAATTTATACAAAGTTTTTTCAGAGTTCTTAGGTACTTTAAAATTTTAAGAACTTAGACTGAGTTAAGTAGAAAGAATCTAAAAACAACATATAGAAGGAGATTTATTCTTTAAAGTTTCTGATATAATTATTATAAATACTATAAATAGAGCACTGTCAGAGAATAAATAGTGTCCAATGAAAAACCTTCTTAATTCAGGTTCACTAAGTAAAAATTTTTTACATTCTGCTTCATTAGTTTTAATATAACATATAACAGTTTCCTATTTGAGTCACCTTACTATCACCTTTTTTTTTTCCCAATCGCAAGGTACAATAAAACAATGATATTTTTCTAGAACTTAAGAAAATGACAGTTGTTGAATTCATGGAAAAGCTCATGTTTGCTATTAACTGTACTGAATGACACATCCTAGTAGAAATCAACCCCAAAACAAACGTTTATTAAGTACCTACTATGGAACAGGCACCATACTAGGGAGTGAAAGTATAAATACAAAAGTCAGACACCTCTGCCCTTAAGGATCTTATATTCCACTTGACAGAATACTTTATATTCACAGATAATACACAGGTAGGAATGGTTTATTTTTTTGTACTCATATTTTTAATATCTAACTACATTATGGTATTGACAATATAGTAAGAGCTCAATAAATATTTATTGATTAATAATGTAGATATATAAGAAACAAATACAAAGTAAGGCAGGGTGGTAGGGGTTGTGGAAATATTAACTAGCAAAATCAGAAAAGGCTCCTTAAAGTAGGTAGCATCTGGGGTGCACCTTAAAAGTTGTTAGAGGCTTCCAAAAGGGAAAAGTAAGGAAGGTAAGAGTAAAAGGCATGGAGGAACCTCTGCAAAAGCAAAGAAGCTGAAGGGAATAGTAAGCATTCCAAGTTAACTAGAACCTTTTGTGAGCTTTAGCAGAGCTTTGGTAAGTAAGACACCAATAGCTAGGGAAATCAGAAAAGGCCTCATGTGGGGCATGTTGGGTTTGAGATGCCTACAAATATTCAGTTATAAATGTCCAGTAGGAAAGTGATAATGTGGGATTGGAGCTCTAGACAGACCATGGTTAGAGAAACAGATGTTAAGTGTCAACTGCACAGAAATCATAACTAATCCTATGAGAAATGATGAGATAATTGAGAGTGTATATAGACATAGAAGAGATGGTACCAGGACACAGCTGTGGGGCATACCCACACACAGGAGGATAAGGATGATAACCCTGCAGGAGAGAATGAGGAGTGGTCAGACAGGCAGAAGAAAACTAGGAAAGATGCGTCAGAATACAGTATATCCAGGAGGAGGGTGTACACAATAGTATCACATAGATGAGAACTAAGGAAGATATTAGATGATAGTTCGAGGGTCAAATGAAATTTAGGGAGAGGGAAAGCAGGTTTAGAGACAGCAAAAGGAAGAGACCAGAAAATGGGAAGAAAGTGAAAATGAGAGAAAACAGGAGGATGACTACAGAGGCAAGAGATGAGCTCAAGGGTACAAGAGGAGAACTGGAGAAAAGAAGAAAATTATGGGGAACAATGAGGTATAAAATTGAGGACAAAATAGAGCTTACAAGTACTCTATTTTTAAATTTATTACAACACTGCAATATTTCATTACATTCATGTGCCACAATCCATTTAAGTGGTCTCTATTTTCTCAGTATAACATGAGACAAGGTCAACTGTTGCAGCAACAGGACCGGCCAAAGCTTTCCCATCTTAAGCGTGGCACTAAATATCCGTAGGCTGGAATAATGAGCATACAAAAAAAAAAGAATCCAACAACAATGAACTATTATGGTGGCAGAATCATTCAAGATAAAAACACAGAAGAAAAGAATAACTCAGAGGAAAAAACCGATCAAGCATCAACTCAACTAGAACTCCTGGAAGAAATGAAGCAAGAGTTAAAAAAAAAGTTTAAAATGTTTGCATGAATGAAATGAAAGCATTTGAGGAAAAAATTGGAAAAGAGATAAGAGTTTTGGAAGAACTGAAAAAATAATCGGTAACTTGGCATAAAAGGTACAAAATCTTGACCAAGTAATAAACGCCTTGAAAATTAGAATGGACAAATAGAAACCAATGATTTCATGAAGCAACAAGAAGTATTTTAAGCAAAGTCAAAAAACTGGAAAAAAACAAATCGAAGAAAATGTAAAGTATCTCATGGGAGAAAAAAATGACCTGAAAAATATATCAAGGAGAGATATTGTAAGAATCACTGGACTATCTGAATACTATGACCAAAAAAAGAGCCAAGACATCATATTTCAAGAAATCTTAAAATAAATGGCCCAGATCTCTTAGAAGTAGGGGGCAAAGTAGAAATAGAAAGAAAAAATCTCCTGAAAGAAACCCCAAAACGAAAACTCCCAGGAACATCACAGCCAAAATCAAGAATTTCCAGGTCAAAGAAAAAGATACTACAAGCAGTCATAAAGTAAAAATGCAAGCACCCAAAAGCAAGAGTCAGAATCACACACGATTTAGCAGATATCACTATAAAAAAAAGTATTGAACTTGGAATATGACATTGCAAAAGTCAAAGGACTTGAGTTAACAGCAAAGAACAACTCATCCAGAAAAACTCATAACAATGGAGGAGAAGAAAAAATAAAAGTTTAATGAAATAGAGAATTCCCGAACACTCCTGAAGAGTGACAAAGAAATTCTGACATTCAAATAAAAGAATAAAGAGAAACATAAAAAAGTAAACATAAATGAACAATGCTAAAGAACTAAACAAGGATAAAATGTTCAATTCAAATACAGAAGATGATACATGTGTCCTCTCTCAACCCTATAGTCATCAGGCCACGTGAAGGAAGTCCAATTAGATGAGGCCTGATTGTCATGGCTGTCATGTCTTGATGACCTTAAGAATGGAAAAAGAGTGGAAAAGGAATAAATCAGGGGTGAGAAAGACAGGGAAAATTATCTCACATACTCAGGATACAAGAGAAGACATCTATATAAACAAGGAAGAGGGAGTGGGAGAGACAACTCAAAACTGACACTTTGAACCTCACTCTCATCTAAACTGGTCAAAAGGAAGAATACACACAAACACAAACACACACAAATACTAAAATACATTTCGTTCATGAGGAAAAGAAAAAATAGGGAGAAGGGAGAGGAAGAACCAAAAATCAATTAAGAGGATTAGTCCTGAGCAAACAAACTCTAAGGATATATAAAAAATACTTATTGCTGTTTTAGGTGGCAAAAAATGGGAATTTGAGGGGTACCCATAAATTATGGAATGGATGATAAAGTTATGGTGTGTTTGTGAGTGTGTTTATCGTTGCTTATAAAACGCTCACACGCATCTTATAAGCAAGTGGGTAGAACAGCGTATAGAACACTGGGCCTGGTGTCAGAAGACCCAAGTAGTATAAATCTACCCTCAGACACTTACTAGCTATATGACCCTAGACAAGCCATTTAGCCTCTGTTTGCCTAACTTTCTACAACTATAAAATGGGGATAGTAATAGCAGCTACCTCAAAGGGTTGTGGTGAGGATTAAGTGAGACAATTTTTGTAAAGTGCTAGCACA